AGTAGGTCCTGATGTCTTAGGGTTTTAAGTATTGTAAACCATCTCATAGGCTTAAAGTATTGCTCACATTAACTGCCATTCCAACTGAAGCTGTGAAAATGTAATGTTTTCATGCTCCGCCAGTACTACAGACGCTGTAATAAGAAAGCAGCTTCTACCGAATTTGCTCTCCCACCTTCTTCCTCTCTCTGCTCCCCACTCCCAAAAGAGTGCAGAAACAAAACAGTGCAAAGCCATTAGTAGTTGAGCGACTTCTTTCACAACCAAGCAAAATTATCGGAAACAGAATAATTCTGGTTTCAAGCCAAAAGACTAGCTCCTGAATAAATTTGTTACTATGCCACTATGCATCTTCCTTGTCAACTTCAGGCACTCTGGAGACATTCAACAACCGTAAACCAGCAGTAAGTGGAGCAGGCAAGCACAAAGGTAACAATATTCAGGACCCAAAACACAAGCGAGTTTTTTCAAGAAAACGCAGTTTTCTCAACTACCTAGGCGGCATGGCGTGGCATGGCCCCAAAGGGCTGCCTGCGATATGACCAATATCCTCCACACTGGCCAGGCTCTTAGCTTTGCTACTTCTGAAACTGCACTGATGCCAATAAAGGCTGTAATCATGCTGACTGATACCCTACTTTTGAACTGTTGCCTTACTCTGTTAAATATCTTAAGACAAATATGCTTTTATCAGATAGCTGATCTTACATTTGATTCTTGTGAAAAATAATCGAGAGGCATTGCTTTAAATACAGCCAAAACAGCTTTTCTGAAGCAAAGCTCAATCCAGAAAACTAACTTTCCAAAAGCAATAAATTACCAGGAGAAAAAGAAAATTATGATCCATCTCTCTACATTCAGCAGTCTTAGCATCACACTAGGATATCAACTGCTGCTCAGATCTCCTCCTGTAAGTTTAGGATCGAGCTGCCATAGGAACACACTGCACAGCTCTATGCCAACAGCTGCAGAAGGAAGCAATTCCATGGGGTAAATTCTGAACTTTCCTGAGCTTTGAACGATCCCCTCCTCACTTCACCCTCCCCCTAGCTGCAAAGTGCCCTAAGAGACAGCCATCATCTGGTAAGTGGGATGCATTTATACAGATCTTAAAATCTATATCAAAAGGGAAGATAATTACAGAAAGAAAAAAAATACATATTTTATTTGCTAGTCGTAACTGAAGATCTCTTTCCAATTGTGTTTAACGTTTGATTTGTACACAAGAACAAGGTTCTTCAGTACTGTTCAGCAAGACTATCTGTTCATTAGATCTATAATAACTTTTTATATTAAGAAAGTGTTTGGGAAACCATGTTGGAAAGCCATTTGAAGTGACACTTCCACCATTTGGGTACAACAAAATCAATTGCATCATCATTTCCCATTTCAGTTTTAGTGTTGGCTGGAAACTAACTTTCTGTCAGAAACCATCTTTCTTGGCAGCAGAGGGAAGAAATAGAATAACTGGGACTTCCTGGCAGTCATACATTAATTACTTATTCCTGCAACTCTACAGTTAACTCTACTAGTGCAAATCTCAGCTCTAAGAACTGCCAATATCAATTCTGCAAATGCATTTCATAAAGGCTCTGCCCTCTAATTCATGCTCTGCTATGGAATAAAAAAAAAAATCCCATAATTAAAAAAAAAGTAAAGTAATTTATCTGACACCTCAGTCCCAGGTGGCTGCTGAGACAGGTATTGTCTTCCCTTTCACTCACAAAAATAGCAGAACAGTCTACTCTGCCATGCAAGAAAGTGAGGATTCAGGGAAGCGAAGATTCAAAAAACACTTCTTTCAGAACTGAATCCACTGCAGACCATATCAGAAATAAATCAAAGGTAACTGAAATTCTTTTAAAAGCTCATTGCAGTAGCTGAAAAAAAAAAATCTGAACAAATTCTTTCAAGCAGAAAAACAAAAGCAAAACTAGCATGTGCACATGGGAGGAAGGAATTATAAGAGTCCTTTCTAGACTTTTTTGTCTCTTTCAGTGTCCTTGTCTCCTCATTTCTTACACGTGGCAAAAGAGAAGCTGTTGTGGAGGCCCTGCATTGAATTAACATTTATTCCATGAATACAGCAGATGTGGGGAAAAAGCCATTACAAAAGCACAGTCAAACAGACTTCATTACTATTGCCTCACCAAAAATCTACCTTCATTTTGGGCTTGCCATAGTCTTATTCGTATCAGCTCACAGTCAAGACTGGAACAATAATACTTTGGGGAAAAAAATTAAGTGACAAATACATATTGGAATTACTTGTTGCACAGTGATGTTAAAGAAGATTAAACGTGTAAGATACTACCAAACACTCTGAACATTTTTTACGAGTAGAGTTGGACTAGTTCATGAATATGAAATAAAATCAAGCTATACCCAGTCTCCTTTTGGTTAAAAATATTAAGAAATCTCTTGCCCATGCACTGCTCTTCCACCTCTTACCCACACCACCGTCTCAAGTACTTAACAGTGAAAAATAAAGCCAGAAGAAAGTAGAACAAATCACATACTTCACAAATGTCTCCTCTGTTGCAGAACACCTTTATGTCCCCGTACTCCTGAGATTTCTCATACACAGCTGGAATTAAGGGTGCTGCTTTCCTCCTGATGCATGTATCTTCTATGCCCCAAACCAAACTTTGTTAAGAGACACGGGAGTCTAAGTGTTTTTAAAAGTAATGAAAATTAAAAATAATTTCCTAATAGTGACAATTCTGTTTAGCCTGTGTGAGCTCATGTACTCACATGCTAACAGTAGAGCAAAGCTTTCAGACCTAATTCAGGTGAACTATTAAGAATAAACTTTTTTTCTGGTATCTGTCAGTTCTTAAGAAGTTAATGAGGACACTTCCATATACATTGCCGTCCACCCAAAAGGCAGTTGTTAGCCTTTGCAAAAACTTCATTAGAAGAAAAAACAAGAGAGAATCTTAGTAATGTGAGCATATTTTCCCTTCCAACAAATGTGCAGCACAGTAAACGTAGCATTATGAGTCATTACATGACCGAGTGAGTTAGTTGAAAACATAGAAATTTAACAGTAAGTAAAGCCCTCATACTTATGTTGAGGGAAGAAAATATACATTTGATTTTATTTTAATGTGACTGAGAATTACAAAATACATAATTAAAATACAAGCTATGGAAAAAAAAAGTCTGCAAGAGAATCTCCCCTGTGTGTTACAGGATTGTATTTTTGTGTTATTTTCCAAGAAAGCTCTTCATAACAGTAAACTGTCTGTAACTGATCCAGTGGTAAAAATATTATTCTGTTCTGAGGTAGCCTAAGAGATCACAGGCAAATGCTTAGAAGAAGGTGATTAACAAAGGCTGCTTTCATTCTGAAGGCCTGAAAAGTTTGCCTAAGTACAGGCTATATATAGAGAGATGCTCACTGAGACAGAGGTGTTTCATGTCTGGAAACAAAATCAAGAGATATCAATCTCCAAATATTAGCCTGAAATGGAGAAAAGATGACAGTGTAAAGAGAAGTTAAAAGAAAACAGAGACCTTCCTGTGAAAAGCCATTCCTTTTCAAGCTAGCTCATTTCAGTATATTGTTGAAGTTACCCCATTTTGATGTATTTGCTTCAGTATAACTTTTATGGTTACAACCCATTCCTCAAAACAGCAGAATAGGGAACTAAGCAGACATGCCTATTTTCAGTAAAAGAATAATCTTTAAACTCCTCTCCCAATCTTTTCAGCTCCAAATAAAGCTTCTGTTTAGGAAATGTGACATAAAGCTTCTTCAAATAATAGCAGGTAAAAAGTGAACTACTGTTTAGATGATCAAAAAGCCTCTATCTAGAAAAGGAAATTTGGTACAGAAAACGAGAAACATCCATCTGCTGGGGTCATTCTAAAAGTGTAATGCAAGGTTCGGTACACAGGCACCAACCAACTCGCATAAGAAATAATTTACACTTAGAGAGACCTCCAATCTAAACGTATCTACAGTTCCTTTAAAGATATTAATCAGTAAATATAATTTCTGTAAGAACAATGACACCATGTGAAGAAACTACCTAATACAGTCAAGTAAAAGCTGTTACTTTAATTTAAAATTACCTTTTATTTTTCACAAGTTTTTCCAACACGTTGTGCATTTTGGCATGGTAGATTTTGAGATAGTTAGCTTCAAGTTTCTTTAAATTACAAACAGTAGATACAGTAGGAATATTTTAAACCGATTTCTTTAAAATAAACGGCAAGTTAAGACCCTTATCTTTAAAAGGCAGACTGCCACCATCTCATTTTCCTGATACAAAATTCAAGTAATTTTAAGTAAGAGTAGAAAATTGTCTTTATAAAACATCCTATTATTAAAACTTACCAGCATTCAGAAAATAAACATCAAATTTCCAGTATCAATTGGGTGCAATTACACATTTAGAAAAATAACTCATTTTAAATGAAGGTCACTTGGTGAAGAAAAGTAGATTTTCAACAGGATGAGTTCTCAAAACAATGACAAACCATTTTTTCTTAGCTAAATTACTTAATCCTTGTTCCATCTCCACAATTTATTTTTTTCTCCTAAAGGTGTACATTTCAGTATTGAAAATTAATTAAGAAAACAGGCTACTGAGATGTTTTTCCCCTTCAGCATACATCAGCATATGGAATTATTGCTTATCCCCAACAACTGCATACAAGATTCACTTGATTTTGGTTTTATGCTGTGGTTTTTAATTGTTTGGTACCAAATATACACACCACAAAAACTTTAGCTGTGTCACTTCACTGAATGAAAACCACAATTTTTTCAGATAATTTTGTATCTAGGATGGTTTGGTATTTTTTTCAACAAAGAAGTGGAATCATAAAATGCTTTTCCATCTTCCCTCCTTACCTACTCTTTAAGACAGCAGAATGGAAAACCAAGCAGGACATGTTTACTTTGTGACTCAAGGCTCAGAGCAGATATTGAGAAGTCTTCAACAATTTTAGAACATTTTCTTTTTTTTTTTTTTCCCTTCATTCTTTTAGCCCAAAGTAACTTCGCTGTCTAGGAACAGTAACTTAAAAGTTTTTTATCACTGTCTTCCAGAAGAAATCTATAAATAAACGTTTATGTAAAGAATCAAACACTGCTGTTGAAGAGAACAAAAAATAAAATAAAATTAAGGATCAATAAATGATACTGCAATGTATCTTGTGCCATTCAAGATAGGAAGCCCTTCATGTAGATGAGTAAGTCTTCCTGGGTGCATGAAACTCCATCCTTTCCTGGGAGACTCAATGGAACAGTTGTACCTAAGAAATTTGCATCCACCTCCCTGTAGTAAAAACACAAACAAAACAAAACCCCAAACGTTTACCTTGTGTTTTAATAGAGTAAGTTCCTTTTTGTTTATCCACAACTTAAAATCTTTTGCTATTAATAACAGGCTGTTAACAATAATTTTTTTTTATATCCCTAACAACAAGGTTGTTTAAATGACCCTGTCTTCAGAGCAATACATAACAGACATGCATTTGCAATCAAAGATTTCCCCTTGCTTTGCTTTAGCATTCCCTGGATAACAACTCATTCAAGCAGCAACTCTGACAAACAGATCTTCAATAACTTTACAGTACATGGTAGCAGACAGAAGCAAATCATGTTCACAGGCCTTGTTCCAGGACTGCATCCCTATCCAGGATAGCATTTAAACAAATCTTAAATAAATTAATGTGGCTGTTGTTTTCAAACTGACGGTGTGTTTTCTAAAGTAATAAGTCTGACAAACACATTTATTGGTGCTAAGTAGGACTGTGAATAATACAGGTTATAAACAAAGCAGGTTAAGTTTCTCTACTGGTCAAAGTTGGGCATTACTGCCACTGCCCTGCCTATGTCCATACTCTGAGGATTGTTTTATTTGAATCAGTAGAAAATAATTTCTCACAAAAAAAAAAAGCACAAACAGAAACAACAGTTGAAAATTTTCATTCTGTGGCTGATCAAAAAAAAATTATTAAAAAAGTTGTAAAGAAAAGAAGCCATTTGAGTCAACTTGGGACTATTTTAAGTATTTTGAAAAACTGGTCTTCACTGTACAGAAATGAAGCATTTCAGAAATGCTAAAAATGAAATGGCTAACATCTCTGAAGGTTTTCTTTAAACTGCTTCTCCCCCATCATCTGAAACGATTTGGACAAATTTGGCCTGACTGCGTCAACAGTTCTAGATCCTGCAATCGAGCAAATTTAATACATGTCAAAAAAAGCAACAAGGACTAAGATAACTTAATTTGTCACACACATCTTTTCCTTTTCAACATGGTCTTTAAGTATATTCACCTGGTGTCTAGTTTGGAAATTATATTAGACACTCAAAGGACATTTTTTAAGTCAGTGAGTTGTGAACTTACTTGAAAGTCCTCTCCTACTTTGTTGAGAGCAATGTTGATTGTGAATGTAGAGGAGTCATGATGAGGTCTGAGCGACCGTTGTCTGTCAGGGCTATATTTTACAACAAAATTCAATAAAGCATACCCCTGAAACAAAATATACATATTTCAATATGTGAACTTCCAAGTCACACATAGGGTTCTTGGTTTGGTTTTTCTATAACTACCGCAACATCATGTATAAACTCCCCAACCAAACCAAATAGGGTATATTCAATAAAATACTTAGAACTAGTCATGTCATGCAGTAATTATCTGCAAAAGTTTTAAATACATACCTTGGTATAATAACCAGCAAACACTTTTAGTGTTACTGGTGCAATGAACTCTCTTATGAAATGCAGCCATTCATTATCCAGTCCAATTTGCTTCATATGAATATCATCAGTTGGGACATTTTCATAACCTCCAGAAATACGGCTGTCCTAATAAAAAAAACATATATAGCCTTGAAATATGGACATGGAAAGCTTCTGGCACTTCTACAAATATTTATTGAAGTCTGCAGAATCACAAAACTGCAAAGCAGCAATGCTTTAATGGGGCATATGTGAGCTTGCAGTACAGTAATTTCACAGCTAACCGCTGTGGAAAAAAAATGCTGAGTTACCAATGAGAAAAATCGGAAGGTTTTTTAAAAGGTGAATCAATATTTGGATGTGTTGCCTGTAAATACACGCTTCCTGGGGTAATGGTTTTATTTATTGAGATGCAGATGCAACTGAAGTTTTATTAGATCAAGTTAGTACAGGCCTTAACTTGACATGGTAATAAAAGTTGAAATAATTTGAAGACAAAAGTATGTTAAAATCCTTCCTGGAGGCTCCTCCCTGCAGTAAAATAATGACTGTTATTTATGTCATTTCCAAGGTACCACATTTGTGAATATGACAAACATTCCTCCAATTTTAGCAGTAGTTAATGAATACCTTTAACTTTCTGCAAACAAACACAACAGCTCATAACATTTGTGAGTAACTGCTTAGGGGAACAAGTCTGACAAATTAGTACTTAAGAGGTAAACAAGTACAACTTCTCTGAACAGTTATCAGCAGCTATCCAAGAGCAACTGTAGCAACTGCACAACTGTTAGTGTCTGAATTTTCCAGTTCAAGGTTTGTATTGGGTTTGCGTGGCAAGGTTTTGGCAGCTCAGGGGCTACAGGGGTGGCTTCTGTGAGGAGTTGCTGGAAGCTTCCCCTGTGTCTAACAGGGCCAGTGACAGCCAGCTCCAAGATGGACCCCTCGCTGGCCAAGGCTGAACCCATCAGAGATGGGGGTAGTGCCTCTGGGATAACAGATTTGAAAAGGGGAAAAAAAAACTGCGCAACTGCAGCCAGAGAGGGGAGTGAGAATATGAGAGAGGAACAGCCCTGCAGCCCCCAGGTGAGTGCAGCAGGAGGAGGAGGTGCTGCAGGCCCGGAGCAGAGATTCCCCCCCAGCCCCTGGTGCAGCCCACACTGAGGCTGGCTGTCCCCCGGCAGCCCAGGGAGGCCC